CATCAGATAGATAATGGCTGAAAGCAGAGAATACCAGAAAGATATTTACTTGTGTTTTGTTGACTATGCAAAAATGTTCAACTGTATGGATCATAACAAATTATGGATAACATTTTGAAGAATGAGAATTTCAGAACACTTGATTATGCTCCTGCAAAACGTGTATGTAGACCAAGAGGCAGTCATTCAAACAGAATAAAGGGATCGTGAATGATTTAAAATCAGGAAAAGTGTGTGTTGGGGTTGTATCCTTTCACCATACTTATTCAATCTATATGCTGAGCAAATAATCAGAGAAGCTGGACTATATGAAGAAGAACACAGCATCAGGATTGGACGAAGATTCATTAACAACCTGCAGTGTACAAATGACAACCTTGCTTGCTGAAAGTTAAGAGAACTTGAAACACTTACTGATGACCATCAAAAATTACAGCCTTCAGCATGGATTATACTTCAACATACAGAAAACAAAAAGCTTCACTCACACCTGGAATAATAAGCAACACCATGATAAGTGGAGAAAAGATTGAAGTTGCCAAGAATTTCATTTTACTTGAATCCGCAATCAACAGCCATAGGAGTAGCAGTTAAAAAATAAAGCAACATATTGCACTGGACAAATTTGTCACAAAAGATCTCTAAAAGTGTTAAAGAGCAAATATGTCACTTTGAGGACTAATGCCCCTGACCTAAGTGACGGTATTTTGAATCATCTCATATGTATGCAGAAACTGAACAGTGAATAAGGAAGATCAAAGAAGAATTGATATCTTCGAGTTCTGGAGTTGGTGAAGAATATTGAATGTGCTATGGATTGCCAGAAGAATAAACAAATCTGTCTTAAAAGAAGTACTGCTGCTTATAAGGGAAAATGGCAAGACTTTACTCATGTATTTTAGACATGGTATCAGGAGAGAACAATCTCAGGAGGAGGACATCATGCTTGGTAGAGTAGAGAGTCATTGTGTTAACACAATGGCAGCAGTGATGGGCTGAAACCTAACAGTGGTAATGAGGCTGGAGCAGGAGTGGGTAGTATTTCGTTCTGTTGTGCACAGTTCCAGACTGACTTGACAGAACTAACAGTAACAGTAACATTACAGAGTCAAGTCAATGAGAACAATGAGACTGTGCTTATAAATGAAAATTATTTAAATTGGAATTATGAATAATTGTTGCAGTTTTAGGTAAGTTGCATCATCAAATTGCGTCAGGTTTTGGTTTGGGTTGCCCAACTCATCTTGTTTCACACACATGAGTTGATGTAATCTTGAGATAATCTTAACATAAGTTCATTTGCTGTTGTTGTTGTTGTTGATTGCAGTCAAGTTGGTTCTGACTCATAGCAACTCTGTTATAGGATTTCCAAGGCTGTAAATCTTTGCAGGGACAGAAAGCCTCATCTTTCTCCCTCAGAGCGGCTGCTGGACTTGAACCATTGACCTTGTGGTTCCCAGCCCAGTGCTTATCCTACAGAGCCACTGTGCTCCCTATACTGACAGTGATGGTGGTGGTGGTTATGTAATGTGGAGTCATTTCTGACTCATAGCGGCCCTTTATAGGGTTTTTGAGGCTATAAATCTTTACAGAACTAGAAAGCCTCATCTTTCTCCCACAGAACCACTGGTAGTTTCTAAGTGCTGACCGTGAGATTCGCAGTCTGACTCATAACCACTATGCTACCAGACAGTTATTGTTAAGTGCCATCGAGTCAGTACTGACTCATAGCGACTCTGTATAGGGTTTCTGAGGAGTGTCTGGTGAGCTTGAACCACTGAGCTTGTGGTTCAAAGTGACCTTGCAGTCCAGCAAATTAACCCACAGTGCTGTACCAGAATTCCATATACTAACAGTAGGGAAGAGGAATTGAGAATTCAGTCACTAACAGGGGTCTTTAGGAGCCTGCCACGTGGAGAGTTGGGGACACTATTTCAAGTGCTTTCTGGTGACAGTATGGAACTACCCCATAGGGTTTTCTAGACTGTAGTCTTTCCTGGAGCAGATCGCCAATTTCATGGATAAGCAGAGAAAGGGAATATGGAGGGATTATGGATTGAGTTGTGCCCCTCAAAATATATGCCATCTTGACTGGGTCATGATTTGCAGTGGCTTGGCAGTTAGGTGAGGATGGTGTGGCACTATAGGGTAAGCACTGGACTGGTAACTGAAAGGTCAGCAGTTCAAACCCACCAGCCACTTTTGGTAACCTTATACAGGGTTGTTATGAGTGGGAACCAATGCGACAACACACAACAACAACAACAACAACAAAGTAGTTAAATGATAAGGCGTTTTATTTTTTAAAGTTACTCACTGTCACTCATTCTTTTTATTTGCACATTTTAATGTGCTCCTCCTTTCTTCTGAGTACCCTGGAGGAGGTACTTGCCCTGTTTCCTTTCCCATGGTGATGACTGGTACTTCTCCCATCTCGACTTGTGGTTTGTGGGCTATGTTTGTGAGTTTGCTGGCCCTTTGTTCATACCTATAGTAAAGCTCTCTTTGGCCTGTTTTAGGTCTGTCATTGTCATCTGACCTAGACTGTGACATTTGCATCTTTGGAATGACTAAAGCTCCTAATAAAGAGCCCTGGTAGCACAGTGGTTAAGCTTTTGGCTGTGCTAACTAAAGGATCAGTGGTTCAAACCCAGCAGCTTCTCCCTGGAAAACAGATGTGGCAGTCTGCTCCCACAAGGATGGACAGCATTGGAAACAGTCCTACTTTGCCCCATGGGACCACTATGAGTCACTATCAACTTGATAGCAAGTGGTCTATTTATTTATTTTTAAAGCACTTAATACTGCACCTTGTTATTTTGAGATACCAATAAACATTTGTGGAATTGAATTGCGAAAATGTTTTTATGTGTGTAAAGTACTATAGGAAAAGACACCACCAGCCCTGTCTTCTAACCAATAGAGACTGCAACCTTTGTCTACCCTTGATAATAGACATATTGACACCAATTGTAAATCGAAGATCATAAGAGATCTACCTTTTTTAAAAAGCCCTGGTGTGGTGCTGTGGGGTAATGCACTAGACTACAAGGTGGGTTTGAACTGCATGATCAGCAGTTGAAATTCACCAACCACTCTGAATTTGAACTGCCGATCTTGCAGTTCAAACCAACCTTGCGGTCTAGTTCTTTATCCCACAGCACTACACCAGGGCTAAGCATACTCCATACTTAATGAGGGCACGGGTAGCTTCCCAAGAGAAACCAACACCTAACAAAAAGGTAAATTGGATTATTTAGGAGTTTGTAACTGAAATTGATGTGGAATCAGTGTAAAAGTTTTCTAGCAAATAAAACATAAAATGTCACTGAATACATGTGTTCAAATCTCTCACCAGTTTGAATTTAGAATTGTTTCCTGTTCACCTCTTTTCAGATGCTAAATATTTTGAAAGGAGTAAATTAATTACATGGATTTCATCTTTTTAGCTAGAATATTGTCATATCTTTCTTTTCATAAAATTGTAACTGGGCATAATGTTTCCACAGTGTTTGGCACATAGCTGTTAGCTGTGTCAGCCACAGAAGCACAAAGGCCATCAGGGAAGAGCAGTTTCAGAACAAGTTAAATGTGGACTGTATTCTTCATTGGTTAGAAGCAACTTCTTGGTACTGGTTGGAGAGATTTTTGATTTGCTGATCTGGTGGTATGTTCTGAAGCCAGAATAGATGTGGTGTGATTATTTGTTAATAGTTGGCTTGCCTAAGTTGCAGTCCACAAATCACAGGTGGCTGGGAGCATCCAGGTCTGGCTAGGAGCATAATTGTCACACACAAAAAAAGCACCATCACCTCACTGTCTTACACTAAAAGACTAACTGGAGGGAAGCAGAGGTGAACGGGAAGGAACAGGTTGTCACAAGGTGACCTTCTAAACAATACTCTTTTGCCGCTACTGGCTTGGTTTTGAATTCCAGCATTGTTACTTTTAGATGTGTTGAACTTGGGCAAGGTGTTTGACTATTATTCTTAGTCCTATCTTCTTCACATGGAAAATGTGGCTCATAAGATCCATTTTTTTGGCTGTTGTGAGTTTAAATTAACCAAGGCTTTGATAAATTGTATAGATCACCCTTGTTTTTTAGTTCTCACCATAAAAAAAATCAGAGTTCCAAGGGCAAAACTTTCCGTGGCTTAAATTAGTGCTATGAACTGAATAGGTAATCAATAGTTCTTTTAGATCACAATTTCATTAGAAATGAACATCATGGTTTGATATTTTACTGTTCCCCTCAAGCTGCAGAAGTTCTAGGAATAAGGAATAAATGTGTTCAGATCTGGTCTGTCCTCTTTGTTTTATGAAAATCATGACTCCTTCAATGAAATCAAAACCTCTGTAGAGGTCTTCTATGGAATTGAATCGTTTTCAGTGGGTTGTTTTTTTTTTTCATGGCAAATGCTCCCAAAGTTGTTTAATTGAGTCTTGTTATTGTTTGGCTCACTGTTGTCAAATCAGTTCCGATAAATTTGTGGGAATGTAGTGATTGATGTCTTTAAATGCAAACCAAATTACTTAGTGGGGAAGGTTAGTGACTAGATTCAGGCTGCCTTGACTGCTTTTAGTTGGACAACACAGAACTGTAGCTCCAGACTCTGACTCCCTCTTAAAACCTCTCTGAGCTTCAGTTTTCTAATGGGTAAAATGAGGATCATACTTACAACAAAATGGTGCAGGTTAAATGAGATGATCCTTCTAAAACATTCAGAAAGTTCCTAGAACTTGGTAGATGCTCAATAGATACTCTTCGTTCGCCTTTCTCATCCTTTTCTATTTTTCTTCTCGATATTTTTATTCCCCCCCCCCCTTTTCCCCCTCCAGTAAGTTTTTAGAGCATGAGAAAACTGGAGATACCAGTTTCAGGCAAGGTATCTGTATGTCTGCTTTGGCTTTGGTTGCTGTAATTTTGTTACATAGACTGCAGTCATAGATGACTTAACAGAATTGATTTTTAAAAAATTTTACTTCTCATTTAATTGCAGGAAGGATCAGAATGTTCTCTCTCCAGTCAACTGCTGGAATCTCCTCTTAAATCAGGTGAAGCGGGAGAGCCGGGACCACACCACCCTGAGTGACATCTACTTGAATAATATCATTCCTCGATTTGTCCAAGTCAGCGAGGACTCAGGAAGACTCTTTAAAAAGGTAAATTGATCTTCCTAGTCACAGAGCTTCTGAGGTGTAGCAATGAAAAACAGACTTGTAAATAAGAGAAAGAATATTTTATTGGCACATTTAAAAGACTCGCAGCCTGTTCATTCCTCACTATGTACCCATGGAGAAAGAAACGAATTAGCATTCATTTTTTTTCCTTTGTGAGCTAAGGTAATAAGAGCCCTGGGAAAGGGATTGTTTGCAAGGAACAACCTCAGGGCTGGCAGCATAATTCATAATCTGCCTACAATTAATAATGGCTGTGCTTTAGTGGGTTGCAGTCCAGTGATGTGGGAAGCTATTGAGATTCAGAAGCCTTAGGTGTCATTTCATGTTTTCTTCCAGTTCATTTAGCAAATTCATGCATGCTTTTGCTTCACCTCCCTTTCCAGGTTCTCATCTTGGCTCCAGGGTGGGCTCATGCACTGCATTAATTCTATCATGACATAGTTTTTGTCTTTGCACCCCAGAAAGGGTTCAATTGTTTATCACAATTCTTTGGGCAAAGGTTGAGTAATTTAACCTTTTCAGTCTTAGGAAAAACTAAATAATTGTGAAATCTTACTGAATGTCTGCCAAATCCACCTTACCAATCAATGGTAGAACCATCTTCTTAGAGACCCAGTAACTTGTTTTCTAAGGTCTCTCACCTTGAGCTCTTCACAGAGTCATTTACTCTGGAGGTTCGGTAATAAATGGTGGCATATGATGTATTATAGCTAACATTCAAGATCCAGCCTCCCTAGATGACTTTTCTGAAGGCAAATCATCACCCTTGAGGTAAAAGTAGAAAGAGGGTATGTTGTTGTTACGTGCCGTCGAGTTGATTCTGACCCATAGTGACCCTCTATAGGGTTTCTGAGGAACAGCTGGTGAGCTTGAAATGCTGACCTTGCAGTTCAATCAGCTTTGCAGTCTGGCGCATTAACCCCCAGTGCCACACCAGGCCTCCAGAAAGAGGGTATAGAAGTCTTCTACATAGAAAGAGCTATCTGGAAGTCATTGATTTCCATTTAAGGAATCCGTTGTTAAGAATTGAGGCTATGATGGAAAGGCCTCGGATACACAGGATTGGGTGGATATAGCAATATATTGCTACTGGCATTGACCAGTTTTACAATGATTAATATTAGGAAGTTTTCTGGATCTAGATGAGTAGACAGCAGAACCCAGTTTCTAAGATTATACTTTCAGGAATCATTTCTATAGTTTTGTTTCTAGAATGCAATTTCTTTCCTTCTTTCCTTCCTTTCTTCCTCCCTCCCTCCCTCCCTTTCTTTCCCTAAAAGAAGAACTGATTTAGGACCTTTTTTCTGCATAATAAGCTCCTGGGATGGCACCATAGGATAAGCACTTGACCTCAAAGTTGATGTGAACTGCTAGGTCAGTGGTTCAAACTATCAGCCGCTCCTCAGAAATGCTATACAGGGTCGCTTTGAGTCAGAACCAACTCAACAGCACTTAACAACAGCAACAACATCTGCAGAATTGCATCCCTGAATCATAGTAGCAGGATACTGACAACACGATTATCTGATAAAGAAGGATGAGAACACTAACTCCTCCAATAACTCCTTAGCTGTTTTTAATGGTCCTGCTGAGCAGTGGTTGGGCCACACTTAGTTTAGGGGTGAAGGTGCTCCTCACTGTCTCCTCCCTGGTTTCCAGTGCCTGTCCTAACTTGGTTGTCATCAGTCTGCAATATTCTACAGTCCTTGGTGATGTGCGGGTGTGACTAAACTTTAAACCTCCTTCGGTGAAACCTTGACGGTAATCAGATCCCACTTCACCTCTTCTCCATGACCTTGACAACCGCTTACAGCATCTCAAGAAGGAAAGGATGGTTGATTGTTGGTTTGCTCCTCCATTCTCTGTTCATCTGAGAAAAACTTCTGTGAGAGATAGTCACCCATTTAGACTCACCCCTAACTCAGCTTCTTTTCCTCTCAGCCTTGGGAGAAGAATCAGGCTGACTCTAAGTCAGAGTTGTTCATGCTCATGACAGGCAGACATCAATGTCGTGAGTGCCCCTGGCTCCATTTCACCAAAGGCCGGCCTTTGTGCGTGGCACATATACAAGGTAGGGAATGAGGGAGCTGTTGACCTCCAGGAGGAAAATTATCCCCCTGTGAATGGTATTCCTAACCATGTTCTCAGGTTGACCTCCTTAAGCTGCATTTCTATGCTGAGGTGTGTAAGGAAGAATTTCTCAGTTCTCACAGGACTGTTTATGTGTGACATTTCATTCAAGAGATGTGCACATGTCATAGTGTACAACTCAGTACAATTCCAGAGACTGAATACATCCTGGGTAGCCAGCACCCAGATCAAGAAACAAAACGTTACAGAACTCCAGAAGCTTCCCTCATGCTCTCCTAGTTACTTTCCCTTTCCAAGGCTAACTACTGTCCTTACTTTTAACACAAGATGTTAGTTTGGCTTTGTTTCATACTTTGTAAAAATAGAAGTGTACAGTATATGGGAGTCTTGGTGTGGTGCTGTGTGATTAGCACTGGACCGCAAGGTTGGTTTGATCTACAGGGTTGGCAGTTCAAACTCACCAGCTGCTCCTTGGAAACCCTATACTGGGTTGCTGTGAGTTGGAACCAACTCGATGGCACTTAACAACAATAACCATACAGTATATGCACTTTTTGTCAGATCTCTCAAATTCAACAATGTTTTGTGAGGTTCTTCAAAATTATTGTGTTTAGTTGCTGATCATAAGTCTGCATCTTGATCTTTAGAAATTTGTATTAATCAGAGTTGATTAGAAATATGTATAATATTGTAGAATGGCCAATGTTTACTATCCCACTGGATGAACACTCTCTTTCCTTTCTCCCTTGAGTCTCAACATAGGCCAAAAACTTTGAAGTAAAAGTTGCTTCAAGTAGATCAGAAGAGTAGGTTAATTCTGTTCAGGCTGAATGAGAACCTCTTTGCTTTCTAGTAACAGGCAAAGAAACATTCTCCCTCCATACTCCAGTTCTTCTATCTGTTTTACTTAGAGTGTGTTACACATGAGGAATTAAAATCCTGCTTGTTGAGAAATTGGATAAAAGACCTACAGAATGTGCCTGGGTGCCCTGCCTGTTGTGTGAAGCTTCTCTGGGCTTGCTATGAAAGCAGAGCCCTTTTCCAAGGGATACTGTCTCTTAGACTCAGCTCTGCTGTGTTGAGTTGGAGCGGTTTCCATAGCTGTCAGCAGTGAGTTTGGGTTATATATGATCTCTTTTGCCAACAAATAAGTCAAATTCATTACCATCGACTCTTATTTCAATTCGTAACGACCCCATTAGACACAGTAGAGTTGCCCATAGTGTTTCTAAGGCTGGAAACGTCACAGAATGAGCACTGGTGCCACAATGATTAAGTGCAAGTCAGCTAACCGATACGCCACAAGTTCAAATCCATGGGAGAAAAGACCTGGCTCCCATGAAGTTTATAGCTTGGGAAACCCTATGGGAGGCTCTAACGTGTCACCTAGGGCCACTATGAGTCAGAATCTACGTGATGACTTGCAACAATGGTCTTACAGAAGCAAATGGTCACATCTTTCTCCTGTGGAGAAGCTGGTGGTTTCTAGCAGCCAAGCTCTTACCCATTGCACCACCAGGGCTCCTGTGATCTCCAAGGTGCCTTCTTTATCTAATATACTGTGATCTTGTGGTAACAAGTGTGTACTATGCATGGAGCTTCTGTTTCTTAGTTGACTTTTGTTAAATCATGATAGGCAAATAACAGCCCCAGAGATCAGGGTAAGCAAAGGTGCAAGAAGCACGGGGAGAAGAAAACATTAGCTAAGGTAACTGAAGACCAAAATTTCTTGAGAAATGGAACATTGTTTCAAAGGTCTTTCAGCCAAGAAAATATTGCATATGCAGGGTTTTAGGGATTATGTCTTGTCTAATTTCAAGGATTATATATTATGGCCAGTAGCTGAGGGATGCTGAATGAGATTCCAAATGTGTAAAGTAGAATATACCTTTGCTTTTACCTGTAAATTTGGTTCTAACAGCAAGAGGAGATCAAGTCCACAATCTCTGGAGATGCAAGCTTCAGGAAAGAGATCTTTATTTCTTGTACAGCTGTGGATGCCTAGTTCTGGACACCCATGCTTTAATGTGAATTTAAATTTGTCGTTTGTAAAAGTCACACAAGTTCTTCTTTATTAATTTTTTTTTTTTTTTCTAATCTGGAGTCCTGGTGTGACGCTGTAACATAAGCACTGGACTTCAAACCACAAAGTCGGTGGTTCAAACCCACCAGCTGCTCCTTGGATATCCTATGCAGCATAGTTATGAATTGGAACTGACTCAACACTTAACTACCACTCCTATTACTTTTTTCTTATCTATAAAATTTAATGATTCACTGGCAAAGCTTATGATAGTAAAAGTCAACATGTTTTTGAGGCTTATTCTCTGCCAGGTACTATGTTAGACACTTTATGTGTAGTCTTTCATTCAATCCTTAAAATAACTATTAGGTAATTACTATTAGCTCCCTGGGTGGCACAAATCATTTGCTCTTGGCTGCTAATGAGAGGTTGGCAGTTCAAAGCCTTCCATAAAATATTGGCAGCCAAGAAAACCCTATGGAGTTCAGTTCTGCTTTGTAGCACATGGGGTCATCATGTGTCCGAATTGATTTTGACAGCAACAAGTTTGGATTTAGAGTTACTATGATCATACCCTCCCCCTTTTATTTTAATGAAGGAGAAAGCTGAGATTTAAAGAAATGAAGCAAGCAAGAGGTGAGGCCAGTATTTAGATCCATTCATGTGGGTCTAGAATCCAAACTTTACATCCACCTGCTCTGTTGAGGTTATCTTGGTCTGATGTGCAGGATAAAGGCTATTGAGTATTTTGAGATTCTTTTTCATTGTTGAATCCAAGTATTTTACTGAGTTATGGAATTGACTTCACCTTTTCTCTTGCACATTAAGCTTCAAAGGGTATTGAGGTATTAGACATCAGCAATGAATT